AGCCGGGTTATCACCCTCCAGAACCTGTTCGACGTGGACGCCTGCGGGCGGCAGGTGAAGAACGTCGTGCTGTACGGCACTGTGGGCACAGGGAAGAGCACCCTCATCAAGAAGATGGTGGTGGACTGGTGCCACGGTCGCCTGCCCTGCTTTGAGCTGGTCATCCCCTTCTCCTGTGAGGACCTGTCTCACAGCCATGCCCCCATCTCCCTGCGGCGCCTCGTAAGCAAGAAGTACCAGCACCTCCGGGACGTGGTGCCCATGCTGGGGGCTTCCAACCTCAAGGTGCTCTTCATCCTCAACGGGCTGGAGCGCCTCAACTTGGACTTCCGTCTGGCTGGCACGGAGCTGTGCTGTGACCCCAATGAGCCTGTGCCTTCCTCTGCCATCGTGGTCAACCTGCTGAGAAAATACCTCCTGCCCGAGGTCAGTGTCCCCCCGCAGCTCCTTGGGGCTGGGGGAGAGCCCTGGGGCACTGCATGCCTGGCTGGTGTGCTGAGAGCTTGGCTGGGGGTGAACAGGCAGTCTCCAGTGGACTCCCCAAGGTGGCCTCGTGTCACTGTGGGATCTCTGTGGAGGGTCTGGTAGGGCCAAGAAGGCAGTCTGCTGGGCTGTGGGCTTCCAGGCTCTCTGTCTGTCTAGCACAGGATGGGGAAAGTGTTTCTGTTCCCTCTGCCTGGGACACAGTTGAGCCAACACCCTTTGAGCAGCAGCTTCTTGAACCCCAAACTGCCGGGTTGGGTGAGCTTTGTGGACTGGATGTGGGTGGTCCTCTTGGGACCCTGCTGAGCTTAGATCAGAGGCACAGAGGGGAGCACTTCCACACTCACCCAGCCCTCTGCTTCCAGGCCAGCATCATCGTCACCACGCGCCCGTCGGCCGTGCGCCGCATCCCTGCCAAGTACGTGGGTCGTTACGCTGAGATCTGTGGCTTCTCTGACACCAACCTGCAGAAGCTCTACTTCCAGATGAGGCTCAGCCAGCCCGGCTGCAGCGGAGAGGGCAGCGTGAGCAGCAGCTCAGGGGAGCAGGAAAACCTGGTGGAGATGTTGTCAAGGAACTTGGAGCGCCACAACCAAATAGCTGCTGCCTGCTTCCTGCCCTCTTACTGCTGGCTGGTGTGCACCACCCTGCACTTCCTCTACTTCACCAGGACGGTGCCTCCCAGCCAGACCTTAACTGGCATCTACACCAGCTTCCTGAGGCTCAACTTCAGCGGGGAGGTCCTGGACAGCACCGACCCCACCAACATCTCCATGATGAAGTACGTGGCCAAGATGGTGGGCAAGCTGGCCTACGAAGGGGTGATGTCCCGCAAGACCTGCTTCTCAGAGGATGACCTGCAGCAGTGCTTTGAGGTGGAGATGAAGACTGAGAGTGAACTCAACCTCCTGGAGGTCTTCCGCAGCGATGTCTTCCGCTTCTTCCTCACCCCATGTGTGCAGCCAGGCAAAGAGCACACCTTTGTCTTCACCATCCCGGCTATGCAAGAGTACCTGGCAGCCCTGTATGTGGTGCTGGGTGAGAAGAAGACCCTGACGCAGAGAGTGGGGAAGGAGCTGTCCGAAGTCATTGGGAAGGTGAGCGAAGACGTCGCTGTCGTGCTGAGTATCATCTCCAAGGTGCTGCCCATGCGCTTCCTGCCAGTCCTTTTCAACCTGCTCAAAATCTTCCCTCGCTACTTCTCCCGGCTGAGCGGCAGGGACCGGGATGCTATTGCCCACACCATGGCAGAGGAGCTCTTCAAAGAGGAGGACTACTACAACGATGATGTCCTGGACCAGATCAATTCCAGCATCCTGGGCGTGGAGGGCCCCATGCGCCACCCGGATGAGGCCCCTGACGACGACGAAGTCTTTGAGCTCTTCCCCATCTTCATGGGGGGGATCCTGTCCCGCCGCAACCGCGCCATCCTGGAGCAGCTGGGCTGCTCCATCAAGAACCTGGCAGCCTTTGAGATCGCCAAGGCCATGAAGAAGACAGTCATCAGGAAGAGCCGCATGGGGCTGCCCCCCTCCGAGCTGATGGATTATCTCTTCTTCCTGCACGAGTTCCAGAACGAGCGCTTCACCGCTGAGGCCGTCCGCTCCCTCCGGACCGTCAACCTCTCCTCGGTCAGGATGACCCCCCTCAAGTGCTCTGTCCTGGCAGCTGTCATGGGTACCACGTCCCACGAGGTGGAGGAGCTGAACCTGACCTCCTGCAACCTGGACACCAGCAGCCTGAGGATCCTCTTCCCGGTCCTGCTGCGATGCAAAGCCCTCCAGTGAGTACTGCCTTCTCCTGCCCTTGGGCAGCACTCAAAAATTGGGCTCCCCCTCACCCCTGCTCACCACAGGGACACACCAGGAGCTCTAGCATGGCCAAGGCAGGGGAGGGCACGCGTGCCTTTGTTTATCCTCAGTGGAGACCTAGGGGACTACAGCTTCCAGCACTCCTGGAGCAGCCTTCCCAGGGCTCTGCACGCTGGGATTTGCAGTCCCAACACCCCCTCCTTGGCCAGCTCTGCTGTCACAGCCTGGGCTGCCAGCTCCCCTGCCAGCCCCGGGGGGGCTCCCACCCTTCCAGCCCCTGTGTCCACCTGCAGTGTTCCCGTCGCCCAGGGGGTGGCGAGCCGTGCTCAGCAGAGTGGGACTCGGCTCTGCAGCATCTCCTTCCTCAGGATGCTCAGGAAAGCTTGGTGGGGTCCTGATCCCTCCTCAGACCTTCACCCACCCCCCCTGCGGCACCTGCACCCCCTTCCCCTCCCTGGGTCCTGCTGCCACAGGCTCTGCCGGCTGATGCGACCCAAGCTCGGGGGCTCTCCTTGTGGAGAGGGAGCCTTGTGTGGCCCAGGTAGGGTGGTGGTGGGGAGGGCCAGGAAAAAAACGGAGAGAACAGGGTCCCCAGCCCCGGAGGTAGCAGCCGTTTCCACCCTGCCGCCCCCCTGACTCCCTCTGCACCAGCCTGCAGCTCAACAGCCTGGGCTCCGACGCCTGCAGGGAGATCCGCGACCTGCTCCTGCACGAGAAGTGCGTGGTGAGCAACCTGCGGTGAGTGCTGCCCCTCTCCTTGCCCACCACGGGCCCCCTGCCCGGCCTCGGCGTTACCCTGAGCTCCTTGTGCCCACAGGCTGGCAAACAACCCCGTGGGCGAGCAGGGGGCACAGTACCTGGCGGAGGGGCTGGCAGGAAACCGCTCGCTGACCCACCTGTCCCTGCTGCACGCGGCGCTGGGGGACAGGGGTGCTGTGCTCATTGCTCAGCACCTGGCTGAGAACCAGCACCTCCAGGAGCTCAACTTGGGCTACAACTCCCTGACGGACACGGCTGCCCTGCGCGTGGTGGAGGTGGCCAAAAAGCACGCGGCGCTGGACAAAGTGCAGTGAGTTCACTCTGCCCTGTATCTCCCCTCTCGTGGGTCCTGATTCTGACCTGCTGTCCCTCCCTGTGGCAGTGAGCAGGGAAGCCCCTCTCTGCCTCCTGCCCCCAGCTCCCACAGTGTCATTGCATAGACTCATGGGATGGTTTGGGTTGGAAGGGACCTGAAAAATCATCCAGTTCCAACCCCTGCATGGGCAGGGACACCTCCCACCAGCCCAGGTTGCTCCAAGCCCCATCCAACCTGCCCTTCAACACTGCCAGGGATGGGGCAGCCACAGCTTCCCTGGGCAACCTGGGCCAGGCTCTCACCACCCTCACACTCCACAATTCCCTCCTCATCTCTCACCTCAATCTCCCCTCCTCCAGTTTTCATCCATCCCCCTTGTCCTCTCCCTCCCTGCCCTTGTCCCAAGTCCCTCCCCAGCTTTCCTGGAGCCCCTTCAGGCCCTGGAAGGTGCTCTAAGGTCTCCCTGGAGCCTTCTCTTCTCCAGGCTGAACCCCCCAACTCTCTCAGCCTCTCACTCCTTTTCTCTCAACCCACAGTCTGTACTTCAATGACATCAGTGAGGATGGCAAGCGGGTGCTCCACAGCCTGCGCATGGACAGGGACGGCGTCAGGGCCCTGGTCTTCCTTACAGCAGGGACTGACGTCTCTGACTACTGGTCCAATATTCTGAACGTGGTGCAGAAGAATCTGCCTTTCTGGGACCGCGAGCGGGTCCGGCAGCACCTTGCCCTCTTCCTGCAGGACCTGGAGAGCAGCCGGAGACAGACTGCCAGTCCTTGGAGGAAAGCCAAGTTCCTCCGAGTCGAGAGCGAGGTCAAGAAGATGCTGGGGAAACTGCAGCAGGGGACCCTCTGACCTGCTCTCCATCTCAGGCAGCCAGGGAGGGAGCAGGGCTGCTGGGGAGGGAACACTGGAGTGTGTCCCAGCAGCACATCCCCTTGTGCCCTTATCCACGTGGAGATGTACAGTGGTTGGGTGCTACCACTGGGTTGGGTACGTGGGGCTCAGCTCTCATCTCCGGGGAAGGATGGAGTGTGGGAGAACTGTACAGAGACCAGGCCAGGAGCAAACGGGACTTGTGCTTCTGGGCTTGTAAAGACCCAGCCCCTGCACCCTGGCCACTGCTGGCCTGGCCACTTAGCCACGAGCAGTGGCAGAGGGGCAGGACTCAGGCTTGCTTGTGAAACCTTTGGTAGCATTAAAGTGCACTGCTTTGTTTCCAGGGAAGCACAGTAGTGCCAAGGCTCCTCTCCTCTCTGGGCCCTTCCTTGGGGAGGAATGTGGAGGCACTGGTGAGGCCGTGTCCCTCCAGCAGCTGGAGTGGAGGGCTCTGGCCCTTTCCCACCTCACGGGGCTGGGATGGGGCAGCCCGATTCTGCTGCAGCCCGTGCTGAACCACTTGGTCTTCACTGCCATGAGCTGCTGTTGGGGGCAGCTGGAAGCTGGGACACCAGGAGCTGTTCCCCAGCTGTCCCAGGGTGCTGGTCCCTGCCCCAGGGCTGGCAGTGCCTCGGGGCTGGGAGGGCAGGGGAGACGTCGGGGCTGTTTAACCATTAAACCCGGGGCGTCTTGGAAGAGGCGGGGGAACCGCCTTTGTCGACCCCTGCCGCCCTCTGGCATTCCCTGCAGCCATGAAGCAAACAAAAGGTACGTGCTGGGGGCAGCGGGGCTTCATCCTGAGGAGACCCTTCCCCACATACACATCTCCAATGTCCGAGCCCAGCCAGGCCATGGGAAGGACCTAGAGACATTCAGATGGACACTGTGGGGACACTTCCTCAGGAATTCCCTCTCCTTGGGTTTGGTGGTCCTTGTGCTGGAAGAGGTGGGGGGGGGTTTATCAGAAGGTGGGCAAGGGAGGATGTCTGTCTCAATCTCCTGGCTCCAGCCAGCTCTCTTGGGCTCTGGTGACCCTTCTCATCCCTCACTTAAAAGTTCTGTAACCCCCCAGGACTTACCTCCACCTGCACACCATCTTCTGGCCCCACCTTTCCCCTGTGCTGCAGGACACTGCTGGACTGGGCAGCAGGTCTCCTGCTGCTTTGAAATACAATAGGACACTGGTGGTGGGGCCAAGTGCTGAGCTGTGCCCAGGCAGACCCTGTAGCTGGGGGGCAGAGGGTCTGGGGGGGTCTGCATCGACTCAGCAAACTGCCCATGAGCCTGTGAATGGACAAGCCTTGAGAGCTTGAGACTGTGGGGTCTGCTCCTGGCTGCTGGCTCCTGCACTGATTCTTCTCTCCCTCTGCAGGGCTGGAGGGTGACAAGAAGTCCATCATGTAAGTGCTTAGCTACCCCTGACCAGGGGCTTCCCAGGGCTCCTGGTGCCACAGCTGAGCTGTGCTGGGGCACATCCTCAGCTGAGGTGGTGTGGATCACACCTGCCAATCCCAGCTGCCTGCCCCAGGAAAGTCTTCCCTGAGTTGTTAACTCGGGAGGCGTGTGGGGGACACTGCAAGAGGGAGAACCACTCCTGGTTTTCCTCAAATAAGAGGCACTGGAGCTGTGGCTCCAGCTGGCCCTCCCTGGGAGGAACGGAGCTTCCCATGGCAGGGCTGGGGCAGCCAGGGGTAGGGTTGTGCTGCTGCACTAACCTGGCCTCTCCCGCCCTTTATCATTTCAGAAAATTCGAGTTTAACCCCAAAGATGGGATAGACAACCCTGCCTTGTCACTGACTGAGGACACGGGTAAATACCCTTCTCTCCCCAGGGTTGTCCCTGTGTCAAGCACAGGGCTCTGGCCCCTGGGAATCACTGGGTCCTGGGCTCTCTCCTGCCAGGGAGCTGTGGGGAGGTGAACGTGTGAGGCAGCAGGGCTGGGGACACCCCAGGCCAGGCTGGGGTAGGGAAGGGGTGCTGGGATCCCTGCAGAGCCCCGCACACGGGCTGTGCCCCACGCAGATGGTGAGGGCGTGGGGGAGCCCCGCTTCTACCTGCTGAGCAAGGACAGCACCGAGACCTTCGGGTTCTGCCTCCACGAGGAGCTGGGCTGCCGGGGCCACGTCATCCGGCAGCTGGAGCTGGGGGGGCTGGCCCAGCGCAGGGGGCTGCAGGACGGGGACCGGCTCCTCCAGGTCAACGGGCACTTCGTGGACAACATGGACCACCAGAGGGTAAGCAAGCTGGGAGCACCTCGGGGCTGTGGGAAAGCTTAGGTGTGTCCTCGCCCCACAAGCCGGTGGGACCCCACTTCTCCCTGGGGGCTTTGGAGGGGCTGCTTTGCCCGAGGTTCACAGCCTGGGTCCTTCCAGGTGGTGCAGAAGATCAAGGCGAGCGGGAACCAGGTCCTGCTGGCGGTGCTGGATGGAGCATCCTACGAAGCAGCCAGAGCCCTGGGCAGGGACCTGTCCCAGATGCTGCCCGCAGAGATCCGCCCTCGCCTCTGCCACGTCGTGCGGGACAAGAGCGGGTTTGGCTTCAGCGTCTCGGGGCCGGAAGGTGAAGCGGTGGGATGAGCAGAGCTGTGAGCCCCCCTTGCATCCCCCTGCTCAGCCTGGGCTGCCTCTCCTCCTCCCTGCAGGCATCAAGGGCACCTTCCAGCTGTCGGTGCGGCAGGACGGGCCAGCAGAGAGGGCCGGGGTGCCAGCAGGCTCCTGGCTGCTGGAGCTGAACGGGGCCAGCGTCAGGAGCTACTCGCACGCTCAGCTCAACAGAAAGGTGCCTGGTCCCGCTCGGGGGTGGGTGAGGGGCTGGGAATGTTGCTGAGCACCTCGCCTTTCCCCTCCAGCTGAAGCAGAGCGGCAGCAAGGTGACGCTGCTGGTGGCATCCAGTGCTGTGGAGGAGTTTTACCGCCTGCGGGGTCTGCAGGTCACAGCCGCCTTGGCCGACACCTCCTGGCTCCCCTTCAAGGCCCGGGAGCTGCACATGGTGAAGGGTCCAGCTGGTTACGGGTTCCTGCTCAAGGAGGACAACTGCAGCTCAGGGACCACAGGTGAGCGGGCTGCGGGGGGCAAGCGGTGCCTGAGCATGTCTGTGGGTCAGGAATGGACCCATAGAATCCCAGAATGCCAGGTTGGAAGGGGCCTCAAGGATCATCTGGTCCAACCTCTCCAGCTACTACTCCAGTTTACATGAGGTGGCTCAGCTCCCTGTCAAGCTGAGACTTCAAACTGTCCCATGTGGGGGAACCCACCACTCCCCTGGGGAGACTGTTCCAATGTCTGACTGTCCTCATGGTGACAAATTTACCTCTTGTGTCCAATCGGAATCCCCCCAGGAGCAACTTGTGCCCATGACCCCTTGTCTTTTCCACGTGACTCTTTGGGAATAGGGAGTCTCCATCTTCTTGGTAGCCCCCCTATGGTGATGGGATCCCCATGGTGATGGGAATAGCTTCAAGCCCTGTGCCCACAGCAGGACCCCTTCCCCAGCTGCACAGGGGTCAGCAGAGCCAGTTTCCCCCCTGGCTGGATGTCTCTGTGAGCATCTCCCCACCTTCCCTGTCTCCCTGGGGCAGGCCAGTTCCTGTGGGATGTGGATGTGGGGCTGCCAGCTGAGCAGGCAGGGATGAAGGACGGGGACCGTTTGCTGGCTGTGAATGGCGAGAGCATCGAGGGGCTGGACCACCAGCAGACAGTGCTCAGGATCTGTGCCCATGAAGACCAGGTGACCCTGCTGGTCATCGACCCTGCCGCAGATCAGTTCTACCAGTCGGTAGGTTTTGGGGACCCAGCGTGGTCCTGCCCCTGCTAGGAAGCCCTGGATGGTGGGATGGAGGTCTTGCCTCCAGGCTTGAACAGTGAGGTCCTCTCCAGGGGACCTGGCTTGCCGTGCAGTGCCAGGAGCTGCATGGCTACCCCTCTTCTGTTCTTCCAGATCGGGCTGTCCCCTCTGCTGTCCTTTGAGGAAGGTGACCCTGCCTCAGGCTCCCACACACCCTCCCTGTCCTCTCCCAGTGGCTCCCCCAGACTCTGTCATGTTGAGGTGGAACCAAAGAGACCAGACTCCTGGCTGGTGGCTGTTGCCAACAGTATAGGGTTCACACAGGTAACACATCTCTTGCCAGGCACTCACGGTGCTGACGCTGCTCTGAGTCCTGGCACCCTCCTGCCCTGCCTGTCCTAATATGTCCCTGACACCCATGACACTGGCAGGAGGGGGCTGTGTGGTACCCCTGGCCACAGGGGCCAGGCAGAAAGACCCCTCCAACCTGCCCATGGAGCGTGGTGGGGTGGGTGGCTGTGTGCTGCCTGCAATGCCCCTCTCTGTCCCTGCAGAGCCCACGCCAGGAGGAGCAGAGGAGGCTGCACCAGGCGTTCTAGTGGCCCAGGAGGACCCTGCCTCCATCCAGGCTCCTCCACACAGCACCTCGAGCCAGCCCGTTGGGGTCCCCACTCAGCTGCTGTGTCTCTGTGCCTGCAATGGTGCTGGCACCATCACAGAGACTTATCTCCACTGGCTGAGGCTGGCTCCAAGCTTTGACCAACCACGGCGGTGGCTGCTTGTATCCTGAAGACAGACCTGTGTCCTTGTCTGCTCAGCTGCCTCCAGATGTATCTAGAGACACTGCACTGAAGCTCTTGCCCAGCTCCAAGCTCTGGGAGCTCACAGAAGAGCCAAGACACTGCCCTCCAGGCTGTGACCCAAGGGACCGGGGAGCCTGAGGCTTGGCTCTGCCCAGCGTGAACCTTCAGGCTGCTGTCAGAAGGGGAAAGGGAGTCCTGGAGGAACCCCCTACCTCCCAGCCTGTTGCTCAGCTCTGCATGGACATCTCTCTTGAGCTCCTCTTCTCATCCTCCCTGAGGACCTGTGGATGGTGTGTCCACCAGCCATCACAGCCCTGTTCCTGTGAGAACAGTCCCGTTGGGGTACGATTAAAGGACAAATCCATGTGGCTGTTCATGTGAGTAACGTTATGGACACAACTGTGACTCAGCAGTGCATCCCAGGGCCAGGCAGGACCAGTCTTCTCTTACTCATTGCCAGGCCCTTTCTGGGAGACACAGCAGGCAGAGGGGGACAAACGTGGTGACCACAGGAAGGACAAGCAGGCTGCCCCTGTGCTGAGATCCCAGCAGCTGTGACCAGGCAGGGGCTCCAGGGAGGCTTGGCTGGGGGAGGTTTCCCCTTGCAGGGTGACGTACCAGAAGCAGCTGTGTGTGCACCCTCTCCTGCCTGGCAGGGCTGTGACAATGCCAGGGGGGGCAGGAGGGAGCCCTGGAGGGAAAGTTTTACCTCTCTCTGTCGAGCGTGGGAGAGTGAAAATGAGGCACAGAGTTTTGCATGTGGCAAAGACCGCAAACCTCTGGCTGAGGTTTTACCTCTGCTAAAATCAGCCCCTTCTCGAGCACTGATGGAAACAGTGAGGCAACGACTTTTGCAGGCAGGGAAGTCTCTGCCTCTGTGGTCTCCCCTGCCTGTGCTGACCACAGCACCCAGGGTGCAGTGTGTCCATGGCCAGAGCCTTTGCATGCTGGCAGCGTGGGAGGGAGCAGGGGTGGCCACCAGCACACTGCTTTGGGGCTGAGCAGTACCTGCCCAGGACCCCTCCTTGGTACCTTGGCCCAGCAGTGACTTTTTCCCAGCCTTTCTCTGCTCCCAAAGCCAGGGGGATATGGACAACTTTCTGCCATCATTGCTGGCCTCTCTAAGCAACTGCTGTGCTGCACACCAGGGTCTCCTGAGACAGCACAGGCAGTCCCTGGGCTGGAGCCCCACGTGCAAGGGAAGCTCTGTGCCAGTCTTCTGGAATCACTTGCTGCTGGGAAGGGCTAGTCCCTAGGAAGGAGATGCAGGGCAGTGGGCATCCCTTGCTTGCTCCAGCCTCTGCTTCCTTCAGACTTTACCCAGGGGCTCTTTTGCATGTCAGCCTCCTGGTTTCCTGTACTTCTCTTCAGCTTGGCTTTCTGCAGCCAGAGGGAAGAAGGAAGGGACAGAGTCAAGAGCAGCTCTTTAAAGGGGGTTGGCCCAGGGACGTCAAGAGCTGTCAAATGGCCCAGAGGAAGCCTGCCTGGGGGTGCTTGCCCCTGGAAAACCTGGCTGGCACACACCTCCAGCTCCAACACCAGCACCAGGGCAGGGTTTGTGCAGACACCTGCCAGACACAGAGCCAAGGTGTAGCCGGTTTTACCTGAAGAAGCTCTGCTGGAGAGACACACACTCATTTGTGACTGAGGGCTGGGATTTTGCAGTGGAGATGGAGCAGTGCCACAGTGCATGGAGGCTTGGAGACCCCTTCCAAAACCCCACCCCAGGTGCTCTTCCAGCCTGGCACACGCTTGCAGTTTCAGAGGCATGGTGGAGAGGCTGAGGGCTGCCAGAGCCTCCCTCTTGGCCCTCTCTTTGCTCTCACTCACAGCCATGATGGATGAGATGCCCACGGGTGGGCAGAGGCACCTGGACACACTCTTGGCCACTGGCCACCAGGCTGGAGGGAAGTGATTTCCAAGCAACCAGCGTGGTGTGGCTCTCCAGAGCAATGGTGGTGAGTGACCACAGTACTGAGCAGAGCCCTGGCAGGGGCTGAGGGGCAGAAGCAACCTGGAGCCCTGCAGAGAGGTGCTGGACTCCTCTTTCCCACAGGGAGGGAACAGTCCCAAGGAAGGTAACCTTTGCTTGAAGTCTCACACGTAAATACAGCTACGACCTGGAGTGAATCATGCCCAGGGAAGCAGATAGTTAGGAATGCAATTGCTCAAGCATGTTCCCTGATCTCTTTGGACTGGGGCCATGGTGATTTTTTTATATTTGGCTCTACAGAGCTGGTATAAAACCCTCCCCAGCCCTCTTCCCAGGTACTTGTGGTATCCTGGAGCTGGCCAGGGCACCCTCCAGTGGTCAATCCGGCTTGACTATTAGCCAGAATCCATTAACATCTAATGGGAAAAGCCTCAGGAACACAGCCTCAATAAATGTTGACATATTTGAGGTCAATATAATCCTTAGGAAAATTTGCCCAAGTAATTAAAGCCAGACAAGGAGCTGCCTGTCTCAGAAATATTTACCAAGCTTTACTAAAGGCAGTAAAATCAAGACAGAGAGTTTTACAGCCAAAATATGCAGGGCTCCCTTGCTGTGTCTGGTGCTTCCTGCTGCTTCCTGATGCCTCAGAACACCGTGTGCTGGGCAGGAGCTCATCATGAGCCACCAGACAGCCCTGGTCCCAGGGAGAAAGACTCGTGGAAGAAAGCAGAGCTGGAGCTGGAGTGGGGCAGCACAGTGACACAGGCTGATGCAGGATGTGTGTGCACCGTGAGGGCAGGGCTGGGAGTCACGGGTGCTGCAGAAGCAAAGGGGTGAGCTCTTGTTGTGGGCTTCACCTCCAGTCTGGACTCCTCAGAGGTCAAGGTTGTGCTGTCCAACCTACAAGCCTGACCCCAGTCTCTGGGCACTCACTATCCCCCCAGAGTGACACTGGCCAACCTGCAGCATTTGCTGCTTTGTTTTGTCTTCTTTCCTCCTCCAAGCCCGTGCTGCGAGGCTGACTCTGTGCCTCACCAGCCCCAGCTGGTTTTTGCAAAGGATGTCTTCTTCTGCCTGGGAAGGGAGGCTGAAAAGAGGATCTGGAGACAGTGAAGAAATGGCTGAACTTCCTTTCAGGCCCATGTTGCAATTTCTGAAGGTTTGGTGTTGTCAGCTCTGCCCAATCACTGCCCTGCTCCTGCTCTCCTCTCTCCCTGTTGGAGCTGGGCTGCAGCAGCTCCAGAGGGTTTTTCCTTCCCCTGCCTTAGCAGAGGGAGATGCCGGGAGAGCCGGACACCAGCCTCCCAACTGCACCATGGGCTGTTCCCAGTTCTCAATCCCAGCTCCAGCTCCCAGTCCCAGCTCTCAATCCCAGCTCCCAGTCCCAGCTCCCGCTCCCAATCCCAGCCCCAGCTCCAGCCTCCAGCTCCCAGTTCCATCCCCAGCTCCCAGCCCCAGCTCCCAGTCCCAGCTCCAGCTCTCAATCCCAGCCCCAGCTCCAGCCTCCAGCTCCCAGTTCCATCCCCAGCTCCCAGCCCCAGCTCCCAGTCCCAGCTCCAGCTCTCAATCCCAGCCCCAGCTCCAGCCTCCAGCTCCCAGTTCCATCCCCAGCTCCCAGCCCCAGCTCCCAGTCCCAGCTCCAGCTCTCAATCCCAGCCCCAGCTCCAGCCTCCAGCTCCCAGTTCCATCCCCAGCTCCCAGCCCCAGCTCCCAGTCCCAGCTCCAGCTCTCAATCCCAGCCCCAGCTCCAGCCTCCAGCTCCCAGTTCCATCCCCAGCTCCCAGCCCCAGCTCCCAGTCCCAGCTCCAGCTCTCAATCCCAGCCCCAGCTCCAGCCTCCAGCTCCCAGTTCCATCCCCAGCTCCCAGCCCCAGCTCCCAGTCCCAGCTCCAGCTCTCAATCCCAGCCCCAGCTCCAGCCTCCAGCTCCCAGTTCCATCCCCAGCTCCCAGCCCCAGCTCCCAGTCCCATCTCCAGCTCCCAGTCCCATCTCCAGCTCCCAGTCCCATCTCCAGCTCCCATCTCCATCATCTCCATCCCCAGCTCCACCCGCACCCTCCGCCCTGCCCCTCCCTCCCGCATTCCCGGTGCGCTCCCGGTGGAGCGGGGCAGGCTGGGGTGGGTTTCTGTGCAGGGGGGGCTCACATCAGGGGTCTCAGCCCCCTTCTCACCCGGCCAGCTTCCTTCTTTCCCACCTCGGGGGTGCGTGCAGCCCCTCAGGGCTCAGCCGGGTGGGGACGAGGGAGGCAGAGGGCGCCCGGC